CTATAATCTACTCCCCGAACCCAAGAAAATATCTCAAAAGGTTTTTGCTGTGCTTTTTAACCTTTCCTTAGGATAAAATAAAAAGTCGGTGGCGACTCTTGCTCAACCGAAACATTTGCGAAAACAAACGCAAAACCTCAAGTCAGTTCTCCCACCGTATCACAGCTAGGGTTTGTTTGGATGTTTTAAGGTTTCCTTACACGGGTTAAATTGGCCAATAAAAAGGATACCATGATGCTCGTGGGTTCAAGACGAATGGATCCATGTGTTCACATTTAATTTATCATGCGTTTTGATGATTTTTGAAACTCACAGGTTTGTAGCTATGGCAAATTATCCGTAGGTAAAAGGTAATGACCTAATACGACGGACAGGGAGGAAGATGATGAGTTGGCGCAACCTCACTGGCCCATTCAAATGCTGGCGCGTGTTTTCTTTTTTTATCCATATGTTTTCATATATTATTATTTGTTTTTATTATACTAATAAACAAAGCAGATAGCCCATATGGCAAGGCGCGTATTGATTTGAGTGGGAGGACCTGGGTTCGATCCCAGGTCCCAACAAATTTTGTTTTCTTACTTTGTTTCTACAGGTTCAATGCATCATCATCCAAAACGCCCACCATGCGTTGCCAGCATCTTGCCATTGGATTCATTGCTAGCCAGATCCAACGCCTCAACCAAGGAAGGACGATGGTGCACTCCCAGGCTGGCACAACAGGGAATCACACACATGGAATGAGCTCAGCTTCACGGGCCTAAGCAATTCAGCATCATACCCCCTCATTCAGCTTCTAACAGGCCCATTCTATCTTTTTTTTTATTTTAATTCTTTTAATTATTTTCTAACTATTTTCTTTTTTAAAATAACATCAAATTATTTCTTTTTTATTTAATCAAAATATCATAAAAACATTAAAAATCATTTATTTTCATAAAAATATTTTATTTCTTTAATTAATTAGTTTAATTAAATTAGGGCAATTTAATTCTTTCTTTTGTCATAATTCAAAATAATTAGATTTAGGGTTTAATTTTGTACATAACCTAATTTTTTCTCAAAAACTAACCTAAATATTTTTCAATTAGATTTTTTAGGTTTCCTAATTTATTCTCGCATTTAATTCGCCGCACATTTTTTGATTTCCTTTTTTATTATTATTGTAACTGCTCCGAGTTTGTAATAGTAATTAGGGTTTTAAATTCCGCATCTTTATTTTCAGTCCAAGATAATTATGTATCTGCAAAAGCCTTGTAATAGCTAGGACTTTTAACTTTCCCGCATTTTATTTCCACAAACTATAAACTGCTTAGATGAATGTTAATAGGATTGTATGGAAAGACTAACTAAAAATTAATACAGTAGAAAACCCTAAATATGCAAAGCTAAATTAACTGAAAACTTACACTCGCACATGCTCACTCCTAGGGTTTGCCCTACTCCGGTTGCTTTCGGTAAACGATCATGAAGTATAGGGTTTGTTAGTGGTCGTCCTCTAGTCCCGAAAGATCTAAAATGACCCATTCGGATGTTTCCTCGGACAAAGATCCTTAAGGCTTTAGGATGATTACTAATATTTCCTAGCATTTCTTTTGTGATCGTACGTGTTCCTTCGAACGTCCCTTAAAACTCCAACGCCGGTGCTACCTATTCCTTAATAATGGGATAGCGCTGTCTAAAAGGAAAACAAACAGACTTTTTTCGAGTAGGTAGATTAGTTCCTATGTACTTGCTCAAACAAACAAATTTTTTTTCACACAAACACTTTTCAAATAAAGTTTTCAAAAACAACTTCGTAACACTCTTGAGGACAGAAACAAGGGTTAACACGAAGTAAAACAGAAATTTTCAAAAACAAAGCACACACAAACAGTTTTCAAAATGCGCAAGTACCTAAGAGCCCGTGGAAAACCACGGATAGAAAGGGTGCTAACACCTCCCCTTTCTATAATCTACCCCCGTACTCAGAAATATCTCGAAAAAGGTTTTTTCTGTTCTTTTTCCTTTTCCTTGTTGGATAAAATAAAAGTCGGTGGCGACTCTTACTTACCGTGACATTTGCGAACAAAAAACGTAAATCAGTATTAACAGTCAGTTCCGCCATCGTATCATAAACGCAGAGAAATGGGTTTCTAGAATGGTGGAAGGGCGTTTCCGTGATGAATAGAAACGAGTTCTAGAGGGATTCTTTTTTTAAATTCTAATTATATGACTTTAGGCAACGCTTTTGAGAAGCGCTGGCTAATGTGGTCCTTTAGCAACACTTTTTTAAGCGCTGTCTAAAGTAACCCTTTAGCAGCGCTGTCTAAGGTGGGCCTTTTAGCAGCGCTTCACACGTGGGTCTTTCAGCACCTCTAAGAAGCGCTGTCTAATGTGCAAAGCAACATAATTTCATTAATATTTTCTGTATTTTATTTTTTATTTGACTTATAGCAGCGCTTTTGAGAAAATGCGCTGTCTAAGGTACGCTGCCTAAAACTCTTTTTAACGTAGTGAGTACTTCCTATTGTTTGTAAAGTGGTCTTGTAGAGTTGATCTCTTACTTGTTTGTTACTTGTGAAGTAAGTCTTTGTCTTAGTATATAATTTTTATGTGGCTTGGGTGAATTCTAATTCTCACCGGGGAGCTTTATATATTATTCGAGGTGTTCCCAATGTTGAGTGTCTCGTTTAGGGTTATAGGTAAATTTATTATGGTCAGACAATAAGTCGTATGGTCTATATAAATTTTTTGGAGCAATGTTTAATTTAGAAAAGTCTATAAACATGAAAATTTTCAAAAATAAGAGTATATTCTCAGCTTATAAGTGTTTTATCGGCAGGTCTATAACTTTTATTTTTCGTTGTTCTCTTATTGACTTAAGAATTCTATTTTCAATATAAACCACCAGTGACGTGTTTTTGTAGGTTTTTGAAGGTCTCTTTTACTGTTGATACTGATTTTTAGCGTTAGGTTCTAATTGTCTTGCCATCTATGGGTGGTGGTTTTTGCTGGATTTTTCCATTTTGGGGTCAACTATCTTGATGAGCTTCTTCAACATGCTTTTGTTTTTTGTTTCTTCCATTGACTGACTTCATAGTTTATTTTAAAGTGCATTCTGCAACCACATTTAAGACTTAAAGATAGTTTTCGCAACCATATCATACTATATGTTTTTTTGAAATATTTTTATCAAATTTCAAAATTTTATTTTATGAATTACGATAAAATTTAATATCGATTTGTGAGGTAAAAATAAAAGTAACAACCAAGGTAAATAGCTTCCAACAATAATAATTATTTTGATATTCAATTTAATATTCAATTTGGATAGTGAGTTTGCAGTTAAATCTTATTAATTTGATATGTAGATAAACAAGGTAGAAACAAACATTCGCAAACAAATAACAGACTTCACAGCTGCAGAGTTTTCAAGTCTCATTGATACCAATTTAGGATCCACCTTTCATATGTGCCAACTTGAATATCCACTTTTAAAAGCGTCGAGAGTGAGTAGTGTTGTTTTTATCTCTTCTATTTTTGGTTTTGTCCCACTAAAGTCAATGTCTGTTCAAAGAGCAACAAAAAGTAATCTATACTACAGTATTTAGTAAATTAAAGCTGATGAATTAATCGAATAATTAAGATTGTTTGCTTTTATGGTTCATCACTTACAAGAAGTCTAGCTTGTGTGTGGGTAAAAGACAACATAAAGAGTAATGCAGATGCACTTGCTACATTAGAACGTAGATGTTAGAGCAAGTAATTTTCTTCTTCTTTATCATGTGACCGTTAGAAGAATTAACAACATGTTCATTATTAACATTTTCTTCTTCATAATTTTTTAGCTCCGCCACTATTTTAGAAGTACCATACTAAACAAATAATAGATGCATAGTAAACAATGATGCAAAGGATTGGCCATGAATAAAAAACTGTAATAGATGATTTTCATTGTAAAAAATTATTAATGTTACTATGAAAAGTATTTTCATTATGAAAAATAAGAAATTAATTGATATACATAGTATTTTACATGATCAATACATCTTAATTATTCTAATCAAAGACTCACAAAAATCTAATAGTTACAATTAATTAACCGTATAAAATATTTTTACATACGATCAATATACCTTAATATATTTTAGTTATTAGTATAAAATATTTTTGCATACGAATCAATATACCTTAATATATTTTAATTATTTATAAATAATATTTTATATATGATTAAAATAAATATTAATAATTTATAAAATTTAATAGTTATAATTAATTGACCAATTTTACACAATTAGATGAGTATTTTAGTATTACCTTGAAAAAGAAAAGAAAAAAGTACTTACTTTATAAGTTATTCTTTTTATATTAATGAATTTTAACTATGGTTCTTCGTAGATTAAAAAATCTAGTTATAGATATACTTTCAATAAATAAAAAAATTTCAAAAAGCATCTAAAATCAAAATAAATCAAAATATATTTAGATTTAAAAAAAAGAATTTGTATTTTTTTAAAATGATTTCTATTAAAACATTTTTAAAAATTATAAAATTAAGTGATTTTTTAAAAATTTAATATTTATATTTTTTAAATAAAATAATAAAATACTTAAAATAATATATTTTAAAAATAATAATTCAAACTAAATTTTTATTTGAACTTTTATTTCTTTATGAAACCAATGAACCATAATTGATAATCTATTATAACCGCTGAAAATTACAAAGACATAGATACTAGCTAGTATAAAAAACTGAAACAAATGGATTCATAATTGATGCTCTCTCCCATCCATATTATAAACAAAAGATTAAATATTTAATATATCTAATCTATATATAGACTAAATAGATTAAATATAATAATCTTAAACAATAAGATTTCCTTATAATATGGAAAGGATTAAGTAATCTATTATAACAGCTGAAAATTACAAAGGTACATATAAACTTGTAGCATAGTCACTTTATCAGTATCATGCATATAGTATCAGCACAACTATTACATATTCTTTTACCCCATAGGGGGAGGAGAAGGTATAGGAAGGGGAGGAAGTGGAAGACGGGGGATGGGAGGGAGTGGTACGCCGGGAATGGGAGAAATCGGAACACCAGGGATATCTACAGGAGGTAATGGAGGAATAGAAAGTGTAGGAAGTGGTAGTGAAGGAGTTGGAAATGGAAATGGTGGTAAATATTGATTCTTATCTACTTTTGTATCAACTTGATCTTCTTCTACCTTTGCACTACCACTAACTCTCTCATCTAGTGTGATATTCTTGAGTTTTCTAGCATCACTTATGTTCACAAACTTGTTCATCACTGCAAACAAACAAAACAAGAACATTAATGGATTCAAAGCCATTGAGTAAGATCTTTATAAAGCAATAAAGTGGTGAGTTTAGTGAAGCTCTAAGATGTTGAATTGATGGTGAAATGAGTGGATACTTATATATAGTGGAGGAAGAAGAGTGTGGAGTTTTTCAAAAGTTTATATTACCGAGTGTATTTATTGGAAGCTTATCAAAACATTTAATTATAACATGCGATGATAGCAGTGCCGCATATTTAAGAGAGTGGGGAAAAAACATTATGAAGGTTGAAGAAGAATTAAGATGGTTGAAAACAGTGCCACCGCTTACTGTATATCTTAAAATGTAAAGAATTTAATCATATTCATAAGTAATTTAGACGGGATGCCTCTAGAATCCCCTCCCCTCGACTAATCAGGCGACGCCCCGCGTTGGAAAGGGATCATCCCGTAGATATGGGGAGACGGGATCACGTCCCCCCGCGTCAAGAGCAGAGACTTCTTGAAAACAGGAACTGGGGAAACGACGAACGACCATACCATCCGAGGAATTCTCTGCGCGACCAGGGCCGTTATCACGACCGCCACTACAACAGGTCTCCTTCTCGATCTCCGGACAGAAGCGACGAAGACGACCCCTGTGGTCCTATATCACAAGCTATTATGGAGGCACACATTCCCCCGGATATGGAGAAACCTCCCCATCTTAAGGAGTACGACAACATTGTCGATCCAGTCGACCATATCGACGGGTTTGAGGCAATGCTGCATTATCATAACGTCGGGAGACCAATCAAATATCAGTTGTTCCCCACGACTTTGAGAAAAGCTGCGATGGACTGGTATAAGAGCCTTGCCCCAGGGTCAATTACCTCCTGGAGGAATTTAAAAAACCAGTTCATCAGTTTATTCACTGCCTCACATCGACATCCGAAGACTGAGGCATCCCTCGAGGCCATCATCCAAAGAAATGATGAGACCCTCAGGGAGTTCATTGATCGATTCAACCGCGAGGGCATCCAGGTCCCCTGCACCGATCATATGAAGAGATACCTGCTCGAGAGGGGACTCCTCCAGGGCACGGAGTTCAGAAAAGCCATTGGCATCGAACCACCGCGGACATTCGATGCTCTCCTCGAGAAGGCTAGGGCATATATGGATTATGAGGAGAGGGAAGCGGACAATAGAGCCTGAGACCCAAGGAACCGTGGATCGACCAGCAATCCGCGACAACCAGATTCTGGCCCTCCTCGAAGAACGAGCGAAAAGAGGAGGTATGACAAACCACAGGATCCTCGCAAGCAAAGAGGGCCCGCGGGGCGATTTACTGATTACACTCCACTGACAGCTTCCTGCGAGCGTATCTTAGCGGAGTGTGCTAGTACTGATTTCAAGGACGACGGCGCCAGGCGTCCTCGCTATGCTCCTGCTAAGCCCGGGACTGATCGGAGCAAATATTACCAATATCATTGAAGTCATAGACACCTGACTGAACATTGTGTCCATCACAAATATGCTATTGAGACCCTCATTAAAGGGGGGAGACTTAGGAAATATTGATGCAACGACGCCCCTCGTCGAGATGCCCGCGATACAAAAGAGATTGAGGATGATGCCCGACCATCAGACGAGACGGTCCCCATCCAGGCAGCATTCTCCGTTACAAGACCAGAGGACTTCTACGTCTCTGACGATATCGAAGAGCCTCTGTCCATGCACAGTAGGTGGGAAAGGTTCCCCTCTGCCATGGTCATAAATGGCGGGGGATTCAACGATATAACTATAAACTCTGCGAAGAGGAAACTGGATGAACTAGTCGAGCCCCCCCCCCCCCCCCCCCCCTCCCCCGCAAACAGTGACATTCGAGAGGGTTAAGGGAAGATTGGAGCCGATCACATTCTACCTCGAAGAATTGCCTAGAGGGGCCCCCACCTCAAGCATTCCCCTTCTGGTTAGGGATATGATGGCTAATTTTTACGTCCATCGCGTCTTGGTCGATAAGGGGAGTTCCATCGATGTAATGTATAGCCATCTCTTCTGAACCCTACAGCTCGACGATACCAACCTTTCACTATATGTGGGGTCCGACCTGCAGGGCTTCAACGGCTCGACCTATAAACCTTTGGGGTACATGGAGCTCTTTGTCACCTTCGGCGAGGATACCGCTACCAGGCAAGTCAATGTGCGGTTTTTGGTCATTGACTGCCCGTCTCTCTACAACTGTATCTTGGGGAGACCAACACTAGCGAAACTGACCGTTGTTCCCTCCACGGTCCATCTGAAGGTGAAATTCTACACAAAGAGAGGACGCGTCGCCACCATCCAAGGTGACCTAGAAGCTGTTTGAAGATGCTTCAACGCGGCATCAAAGGGACAAAGCACAGTCGACACTGGAGTACGACCCTCCAAGAGAGCTACTACGGCATGACCATAGCCACAACCCGCCAAGACAGAAGAGCAGAGAGCTCCTCCAAAGGTTGACTCCATTTTGCTGGACACCCGTTTCGACCAGGATGAAGCACCCAACGGCGAGCAGGGAATCCTCCAACCAATCCCGGATGGAGACTTTGAGCTCGTCCCCCTCGGTGAAGACCCTCACAAAGGCGTGAAGATCGACATTGGACTCCCTGACCCGGAAAGGAAGCATATCAAGGCTTGCTTAAGGGAGAATGCGAACCTGTTCGCATGGAGTGCTGCAGAGATGCCCAGTCTCGACTCCGAGGTCGCGTGCCACCAATTGGCCATTGATCCAGCCACTAGGGCAATAGTACAACGTATATGTAGGTAGTCTCCCGAGAAAGCGGAGGCTGATGAAAATGCTGTAAAAGACCTCCTAGAGGCAAATTTTATTTTCGAGGCCAGGTATTCAACCTGACTGTCAAATGTTGTACTAGTTAAAAAGAATAATGGAAAATGGCGTATGTGTGTTGACTATACCGATCTTAACCGGGCATGCCCCAAAGATGCATTTCCCTTGCCTAATATTGACATGTTGGTCGACAACTCGGCCGACTATAAATTTTTATCTTTCATGGACGCCTACTCGGGCTACAACCAAATTCCGATGGCGATGAGCGACAAGCACTACACCACTTTCATGACCACCTTAGGCAATTATTACTATAACGTAATGCCCTTCGGTCTGAAAAATGCAGGGGAGACATACCAGCAGATGATGAATAAAGTCTTCCGCAACGAGATCAAAGATATGCTCGAGGTATACATGGACGACATGATCGTCAAATCTCGATCAAAGACCGACCATGTTTCCCACCTCAGAAAAGTCTTTTCCCAAGCGAGACAATGTAGAATGAGGTTCAATCCCGAGAAGTGCACGTTCGGGGTTAAAGCGGGCAAGTTCCTCGATTTTTACCTAACTGAACAAGGAATTGAAGCCAACCCCGATAAATGCCAAGCATTCTCCGATCTCTCTACACCTAATTCAAAGAAATCAATACAAGTGTTAAACGTAATGCTCACCTCGCTCTCCAGTTTCGTGGCAAAATCCGCACAACACGCCCTTCCATTTTTCAAGCTCCTACGCAAAGAGGCACCTTTGGAATGGACTGGGGAATGCGAGCAAGCCTTCCTCCACCTCAAGCAAAGCCTCTCGCAACCGCCCGTATTATCACGATCTATGGACGAAGAAACCTTGTTCCTATATCTGGCCGTCTTCGTCGAGGCCGTGAGTGCATCCCTCATCCGCGAGACTCCTGACGGTTAAAAGCTAGTGTATTTCACGAGCAAAGCACTTCAGGGACCCGAGATCAGGTACCAACAAATCTAGAACGTGGCCTTGGCCCTCTTCATTGCAGCGAGAAGACTCAGACATTACTTCCTGGCACACACTATCATCGTACGGACAGACCAACCCGTAAGACAACTCCTAGGTCGACCAGACATGGCAGGACGAATGCTAAAATGGTCCTTGGAGCTCTCGGAGTTTGACATCCAGTATGAAAGCAGGAAGACCCTCAAGGCCCAGGCTCTTGCCAAATATTTCACGAAGATGACCACTCACGACCCCCCCCCCCCCCCATAGGGAAGGAGCACCAGTGGACCATCTTTGTGGATGGAGCTTTCATCTCCACAGGAAGTGGAGCCGGGATCCTCCTCAAAAACAAGGAAGGCGTTGTGATCGAGCATTCCCTCACACTTTCCTTTCCAACCTCGAACAATCAGGCTGAATACGAGGCCTTGCTTGCAGGATTAAGACTAACTGAGGATATTGGCGCTCGAGAAATACAAATTTTCACTGAATCCCAACTCGTCGCATCTCAAGTTCAAGGGGGATACCAGGCCAAGAACAAAAGCCTCATCGAGTATCTAAACTTGGTCAGAGAACATATGAAAAAGTTTGACCGAGTAGAAATCACACACGTATCACGCGAGTATAACACGCGGGCCGACATACTTTCAAAGCTCGTGAGCACGAAGAAGAAAGGCGGTAACAAATCCGTCATACAAGAATCCCTTTCTCTCCCGAGCATTGAGAGGTCCACTGTGCCGCTCGAAGTGAACGCCATCGGGGACAAATCATGTTGGATAACCTCGGTGTTTGATTTCCTAACAAAGGGGAAGCTTCCCGTAGATCAAAGAGAGGCGGCTGCGACCAAACAGCGGGCCTGCTCGTATGTGGTACTTGAACACAAGTTTTACCGTCGGAGATTCTCCATCCCACTCCTAAAATGTGTCAAAGAGTCCGCAGTCCCCGAGATACTGCGGGAGATCTACAAGGGAATCAACGCCCAACACATGGGTGGAAGATCCCTAGCACGAAAGGCACTGCGAGCAGGTACTACTGGACGACCATGCAACAAGACGCCAAGGAGCATGTCAAGAAATGCGACAAGTGTAAGAGGCACGCAGACATGCACCTCGCACTTCCACACGAGATCACAACACTATCCTCTCCGTGGCCATTCGCATGGTGGGGAATGGATATCCTCGGACCTTTCGTGCAAGGAACATATCAAAACAAGTTCCTCATCGTAGCCGTCGACTACTTCATGAAGTGGATAGAAGCCGAAGCTCTAGCCAAAATCACTTCACAT